CCCCAAAACCCCAAAACCCCAAAACCCCATTTCACCGAATATAAAACTAAAAAAATTATAAATAATAAATAAAGATCGATAATAAAGAAAATGAATGCAGTAGCTCCAATGACTATGAGGGAAATTTAGGTATTGTATAATTTTTCTGAATCCCCAAGAATTCTTAATGAGTATTTTTTGTAGAAAATTGTAGTAGAAATAGAGTAGAAACTTTTCGACAATAGCGAGTAGATGGAAAAACTCATTCATTCTGTTGACACTCATCTAGTTAATTATAATTTGAGACTGAAAAAGGAAAGCTAAAAAGCTAAAAGAATGCAGAAAAATATTGATCAACTTAACTAAGAAAGCAATAATAATAACCAAAATAAAAAGTCTCAAGGTAAATATATACAAGTCAGTTGAAATATATAGATTTAAAGGAGAGAGAGGACACCAAATACAATAGTTTTTTTAAAGAGATAGAAAGATTAAATAATGAAATTAGTTAGATGAAGACAAACATGACAACACTTGTTGAGAAGCCACCAGCAAATCGGGAACAGCCTAGAATTATATAAAAACCAATAATAATCTCAAAACCTTCGAGAGACAACTACTTTGAGCAGCAGATCGAGTAGATTAATGAACAAGTTACTGGGATCAATAAAATAATCAACTCACAATAATAGAGTTATGCATTGCAATTAGCTAATGAATAAAAAATATGTGAGCTTACTGACGAAATTACACTTATAAACTAGCTATAAAACTCCCTAAAGGAGCAAGTTTAAAGATTGCAAGATTAGAGTAGAATAAACAGCAACCTTGAATCTATTGAGTAATAATATAATTAAAGAAGTGGCTCCAAAGCTAACGAAATGTATGATTCAAAAAGCAGATAAGGAATATCAATATTGTCTGAACAAAAGTAAGGGTATTAAATAAGACTTAGTAGGACTACTCTTGAGTTAGTAGAGCAACGTTTAAACGAGCATAAAGAGACAACAGCTAAGAACTTTTCAGAAGTGAACGACAACTTCAAAAAGTTTAGGGAACAAATACTGCATTCATTCTAAAATCTTTAAACTGAGAATAACTTTCAGCATGAAAACATTAGAAATTCTACTAGTCAAAACTTCTATAGTAAATAAGACATCACTAGTATGCTAAAAAAAATTTAATAAAAAATTAATGGCTTATATAAGATATAAACAAACACAAACATTGATGTGTCTTCATAACTGACCTAAGGATAGAAAATACGTAGAACTAATAAATCTACTCTTCATAGCATATAAAAAACAAACAGTGTAATAAATCATACTGATAGAGAATTTGATTCGTCAATGGGATTGTTCGTTATCAACAACTCATAAATAGGATATAATCCTGGTGAATCATTTGAAAATTAAATTAGAAAAGCGTCCAGCCTATTTAGGGGGTCGACTGAGACGATAAACAACGGTAGCAACATGAGTCATTATACTATATAGGTTAAAAATGGTGCAAATGGGAATCCCTAAAACGGAGTTAACAGTTACATGGTAAGTTCATTCATTTCTAGATTTTTAAATTGCTTATTTAAATTGTAGAGGGAATATACTAATGCTCCAATTAATGAAAATGCATGCGGAGAAGAAAGAGACCATATCACTAGTCTTGAGAAACCTTACCCAATGTTTCATAACTTTAAGGGCCAAAACCTCCTTGATGCTAGCAATCGTATGTCGAATTCTTAAATAAAAGTGAATTCAATGGATAGTAGAGGTGGTATATTTGGAGACTTAAAGCTCAAGGTTAACATAGGAGATCGTAATAGGACTCCTAATAGACTTTTGATAGATAAACTAAGAACTAACAGGAAGAGCATTGCAATGAATGATGTTGTAATTAATCAGACGTTCATCTAAAATACAAGTTTTAATCAAACTAATCAAACAGATAGAATCAACATCAATACCCAAATACCAATTAAGTCACCAAGACTTAATAATTAGTATCATGTTCCATCATAATAGGTAAGGTTTAGATAGCAAAGTGACATAAATTTATAGAGGAAAATGCAACAAAACAACCATTGATATTTAACCATAATAATCTTAATTTTTAATACAAATATCTTATTACACTAATCCTATTATGAATTTTTAAGAGAGGGGTTTTGGGGTTTTGGGGTTTTGGGG